TGTTTGTTTCAACCCTCACTCTCTGAAACACTGACGCTGCTGTTTTTATGTGCCTTAGCCACTAGGTGCAGGTGTGAACGTGTTCGAGGTCAGGCCGAAACTGAGTGCCTGGAAGGACCGAGTTCGGGCAGAGATCGGGCCAGCTCTGTTTGACGAAGCCCACCAGATGATCTTTAACGCAGAGGAGATGTCAAAGACCATCGACCCCAGTGCGAAGGAAATATTCAAGCCCAAGATCAAAAAGATGTTCCTTTGAGTCCATTGCTAGGTTCTTGTACAGTCTGCTGTATACTGCTTTATCTCTCACAACCAAATACCATTTGTGTTTATGCATTAACCTGCAATGGTGCCAAAATTTGATTTGATTACCCCTATACTGTCTTATATATTATTTACTCCATAAATACTTTTTCTGTATTTGGCATTATAAGAGATCAGACGGACATAAAACCCCTGTTTTTTGGTCATAAGGCTTTGAAGGGATAGCAAGGTTAGGTTAAGAGATGCCATTTTGGGTGGTAATTTCAAGGGCATGGAGTATAACTGCAGTTTTGACTTTCATCCTAAAAATCTATTTGTCATCTTGCTTTTGTTTAAAATGATCAACCATCAGGTAGTTTGTATTTGCATGTAGTCCTTTGGCATTTAGTTACATGGGAGTTTGTCATTTTAAAAGATCATCTTTAATGGGGAAATACATGTAAGTCACAGCATTCACACCAAGATTTCATGGAATTTTTCTGGCCGAAAGAAGGGGTCAGAGCAGATTAAATTTCACCCAGATATTTCCTGTGTTCACAATGCTTTAAGTACTGTGATATGTGCAACTTTTCCACTTAATGAAGGAAAAAGAATTTGCAGCTGTTGAATAATAGTAACATAATTGCTTTTATGAAGCCATTCTGTATTTTTTTCTGATACTATGTAATTTCTAATAAACAAGCGGCATTTCTTAACAGGTATTAAAGTATGTTTCAGTACTTAAATGTATCTAAAAGTATGCATATTACAGAATTTATAAGGTGGTGGGTAAATTGCATCTAAAACCATATAACTATATACACTCTGTTCTGTTACACATTAATGGATCTCAATTTTCTGAAACTCATTTTAAATGCTAGTGAACTTTGACTTGAGATAATACTGCGCAGTCTCCTATTGTTGACTCAAACGTAAAACGTAAACTGTTTATTAACCTTGAATTCATAGTGCTTTAGAAGATTTTTTATGGCAGTATTTTGTCCAGCAAACTAAAAACTCCGGTTTACCTAAATAGCTACTTTGGCTATGTTTTGTATAACTCCTATTTTATAAAGAAATATTAATGGACAAATTCATGTAAGAAACTTTACTCCCAAAAAGCGATAGACCTCAATAATTCAATGAAGGACTTATACCAATTTCATAATATACCATTTAGTGTCAAACAACTTGCAGGCTATTAGACAACTGAATAATTTCAAGTACAACGCTTGAGATGAAAATCCACCAGTGCACCAAGGCTTGTGACTGAATTTAGCACCAGTGGTTTATATTATATTATGCAAAACATTATTGTGTGTGTATATATATATATATATATATACACACACACACACCACGCCTTTCATTTGCTGCTACATTATTATTCTTAGTTGTCGCAGTAATTGTAGTAGTGGAATAACGTTCTGGGGACATCAGGAAAACCGGACACTTTGAACGTTTCCATATACCATTATCGTTATGTTCGGTAAATGTTCCGAGAACAAATAATAAAATTAACTGGGGTAGGCTGTGCTGAGAGAGCGTTGCAAATAAAATATTAAAGTCATTTGGATCCGAAATTCATCTGCTGTCTAAGTAATGCCCGGGGATATTATTTTCACCGATTTCCGAAGGAGCCATCAGAGTCGGACCAGCTATGAGGAAACTGTGATTCGGATACGCTGATATGCTTCAGGCTAAAACTATCCGGTTTGTAGCCTATACATCCCATTCTTGGACGGGACACACTCTCCCCTCATAATGCTTTTGAGTATTTGGTGTGATTATCTTAAAACCACACCCGATTCGCGTGCGTGGGTCTGTTTCCTGATCAGTTTTGTAAAACGCGGAAATCCACTGACTTCCATGGGCAATTCGCAAGGGGAAAAGGGGGAAGTTCAATCAGATGTGTTAATTACCTCCAAGACTGAATAATACGCACATAACAGAGACTGGAAAATAGTGGGCAGACATGTCCCAAGATGGGGGGTGTTACACTTGGATATGGACGTGTTTTTTTGAGTACTCGACACCAAAAATACTGCTGATCCGAAGCAGGAAAGTAGGAGCGATCAACCGATTTATTCAGGCTGTAATCATTGGATACGTGATCGGGTAGGTTGGTACTTTAAAATAGTGCCGGGGAAAGAAAACACAATCTATACGTAAATTCAGCCATATTTTTACAATAAAATGATAGAATCTAATTCTAAATCCACATTCAGGTGGCACAATGCAAGCAAAATCCTAGCTGTAAATACGTAACGTTTACTTTTAAGCGTTTGGTTGAAATTAGATACTGTAGGAGAACCAAACGTCGCTGCTTAATTTCTTTTTTAGCACCTAGTTTCTCCCAGTCATTGACTTAATAGCCCGACTTTTCTGCTGTGTACTGAGGAACGATTCTTACACGTTGTTATTCAGTAGAGTGTTTAATGCTGACACGTTTAAATCTGTTACATACAGTACATTTCGAGGATACATAGCCTACAACTTTGGTCAGCTGGCACTCGCATTTACACGTATACGTAAGAGTTTTATTACCTTCTAAGTAGACCGTAGGACTTGCAAACTACCTCAACGCTTTAGATGCGGCTCATTTTAGGTTTATAATGGAATAATATAGATTTCTTGCCTGTGCGTGAGAGTCTGAACGCGTGATTGTCACGCCAGATGCGTGTGAGCTGGCGGCCGTGTAATTGGTGATCGAGGGGAACCTATAGACTGCGAGCGCCGGAAATTTGGTCTCTGACGACTCCCGCCTGCTTGGATTGGAAACCAGCCGCTTTCTTTTTAGAAGTGTAGGGTGGATATTTTCAGACTGTAACTTTACCCCTATCTCCCCCTGTGTCATTTGCATAGGTATGTATGTGTGCTGAAGAAAGGCTACCAGGAGACTGACACTGTTTTGAGCTCTGTCACCACCAAGGTCAAGGGCATTGCACTGACAAACACCACAGCAATGGGTCTGCGTGTTTGGGACGTGGCTGACTACGTCATCCCCCCTCAGGTACCAACTAAACCCGAGAAGGAGGTAGAATATCTGCTATCTTGTACCCCCAGCCCAAGCCCAGCACCCACTCCTGGTGTCTAGACTTTGCCATCTGAGGTGGGGGTCACTGGCGGTGAAAATCTGTGCGATTAACAGTTGTAAGTTAACTATTTTCAGGCCACCAGCTCAGTACACAAGTCAGCAGAGAATGATTCAGCACTGTCCGGTCTGAAGCTTTAGACTATAGTGTCATAACGTCTAGTAATATTGATGATAATTTAAATGAAAAATGTTGCCATTGCTTGAATTGAAACTTGGAATGAAGGCCGGGCCAAAGCTCACTGAAAAACTACGCTCTGGAGGTGTTCCTGCGGAAGTGGAAGTGGCTCAGACCAGCTGTGTCTGAATCATTACGTCCTTCACCATGTTCAGCCATGTCACGCTGTTTATGATTTACTTTCATACTTTGCTTTTTAACCTGGTCCTCGGGGATTTCCCAGGCAGTCCACATTTTTGCTCCCTGTCACCTCCATACTGGGGGCTGGGAGAGAGTGAAAACCTGTTCTGCTGGATGGGGTCCTGGGGGGGGGGCTCCCCTAAGGCCAGTTTGAGAAACACTTTCTTTAGAAACACTGGTCATTTCTAGATGCATAAGAATTGGTTGGTGCCCTTTAACTACACATTAATGGACCCTCTAAATGGGTTACTTTGAAGGGTTATTGACCCCTTTTCTGTTTTTCATAACTGGCTGGAATATGATACAGAAGATTTAATCTATTATCATCATCATCATCATTATTATTATTTTTTGCAAAACTTGAGAAAATAACTTTGCTTCTCCCCATACCCCCACACACTTTTTATAGGAAGAGAGTTCCTTCTTCGTCATGACCAACATGATCATCACCCCAGGTCAAAATCAGAGTCACTGTCCTGAGGTAAGCGGCTTGGATAGATAGCCCTGCTCCATCTGTGTTCTGCCTCCACCCAATAAGTAGTGAACAGGTTGCAGGTGCATCTGAAGTAATTTTTTTTTAAACTTTATCCATTCTCTAAGTCTTTCCAGAGGCAGAAAACATGGCTTTAAAAAAAAAAAAAAAAAACAAAAAAAAACGCATTCTTAGAATCTTATTTATGGTGAACGTGAAGTTTACCAGTATTGTCCGTTATTCAGATCCCCAGTGCAACAGCTAATTGCTCATCAGATGGCGACTGCATGGCGGGGTTCAGCGACACACGCGGGAATGGTGAGCCTTCCCTAAGGATCCCAGTACTGGGGCTGTTTTCAGTTCAAAAGCCTGTTATGAACATGAGAAAGTGTTTAGATACAGAGATTTCATTCATCTTGTGAGGGGAATTTTAGATGCTACAGCAGCAAGACACATTCCATGGAGAAGTGAGCAATAAGATAAATGAAACTGCATTTAATATATAAACTACATTTTCAGTCAGAAGTTGTGGTTTCTTGTGTTTTAGTAGTTATAAGCACTTATCAGTGCCACAAACGAAATGAAAAGGTAATGGCAATTAAGGAAAAATATAACATCAGATGACAAACACCACCTATGGGGTGAAGACCAGGCTGATCAAAATATAAACCTTTTATAGTGACTACAATAGGACAGACTAGGCTTTCTGTTGATTACACTAAAGGTATTTTTCTGAAAGTTCTATCCAGCACTGCTAGAGAAGTCTGCACTAGCTGGCTGTGTAGCCTTGATCTTCCTATTTATCCCCCCCCCCCCAATCTGCTGAATAAGCACTGTGAATCAGATCCACTGACAGACCGGAAGGCTGCAGTCATGCCGCTAGTTTTATTGCTTATTCGATGCGGCAGAGTTTTTTTGGTGGCTGCTACATTTTAACTGATAATGTGCACTATTTAAAAAGTTATTTTTACAGTTATTGTTAATTGTGTTGAATATGTGGGAAAACTACACCCTCTGTCAACGAATGTTTGAGTTTTAAATAACGTTGTACCGTTAAGGAATGGTTGTTTAAAGGAAGGTATGTCTTTCTATGTAGATTGTGCTTCTGCTATGTAATATCTAACTTAAATTTCTCTGAGATGATGCTAAATCTTATTGGAAAGGGTTACGATAGACATCGGAGTAAAGCCTGTCTATCTTGTTCGAGTCTTTCTTTTCCAAATCGATCTGTGCATCTGTTGGTCAAAATCGAACATAAAACACTGTGAAAACGATTGAGTATACAATTATGGTCTTTTGAATGAGGGAGATTTATTGACTGCAAAATACAATAAAACGATTGGCAGTTGGATTTAGGGTAACATTCTTTATATTTATGTAAGTGGTATGATAACACTATTCAGTAGATCAAAGCAATGTGCAGATGCCATTGAATTAAGCTATTAACCAGAAGCAGTAACAACAAAGTGTATTTTGTAGCAGCCATACAATAGCTAACAAAACCATTCCCCTACTTATAAACATAGCAATCAAAAGCCATTCTTCTTCTAAACAGAAGTGAGTGATGTCACTTCCATCAATGCCGTGAAATTTCAGAATAAAAGTCTTGGATTGATCAAACATTCCACAGTGGATTTCCAGTCTGTCAGTCGATCAACCTCACAGTGGATGTTCAGCAAGACACTACTGGGAATGGGCTGAAGGTTAGGTGAATGTGTAGGTCATGTCATCACCGATAATCCTACATCTTTCGTCGTCTTCAAAAAGTTTTGACTGTATTTGCAATGTGTGCAGTTTAACCAAAATGCTAAAATGTGCGGTGTACTTCTGATGGGCACTGAATATAAACACAGGTCAAAAATGTATAAGGGCAAGAAATGAAATTCAGAGACAGCATGTAATTACTGTATGTCGGGGAATCCAGAGTGCATGGTGTATACAGTCCATGGCAAATGAGAAGTGTGAGGGACTTGAAGAAGAGGAGACCTGTGTCTATTGGTGATGAACATTCAATGAGAAACGACCTCTGCAGGTGTGCAGACGGGGAGGTGTGTGAACTACTCAGCCTCAGCCAAGACCTGTGAGGTTTTGGCCTGGTGTCCATTGGAAGAAGATGTAGACCCACCAGAGTGAGTAATAACCATTGTGGCTGTACCATTCCCAGACCTTGCATTGTGGCACAAGGTGGCATTGTCAGGTTATTGTAGCATTCTTATTGTAGCAGGTTACTGTAGCATTCTTATTGTAGCAGGTTATTGTAGCATTCTTATTGTAGCAGGTTACTGTAGCATTCTTATTGTAGCAGGTTATTGTAGCATTCTTTGCATCAATCCAGATCACCTGATGGGAGTGTTATGGAGCCAATGTACTGGCTTAGCGAGGCTTCTTGAAGCCTACTTCCAAGTTTTGCATACTACGAATTGTAGTTCACTATTAAGCAAGGTATATTACCATAGGAATTTGTCACATACCGAACTTGCTCCGAGCAGGTTTAACAGCAGGCTTTTGGATTGAGTTGGGGGTATATCCCGCCATTTAGCATTTAGCATATATATGTAGCCTCTATACGTAGCCTCTGCAAGTGCCAGACTTGGACTAAGCAGTAGGGATGGCTGATATCGCTAATTTTGCATAGCAGATGTTTTATCCTGATACCGATATTTGGTGTTGGTCCCTTTGCAGCCCCTTGCCAGCTGCAGATTGGTGGCTCTTAGCCTGCATCCCTAGTTTATAATGCCGACTCCACCCCATTAATGGGAACCTGCTCAGACAAACTAGATAAATGAATCAACTTACTGAGTTGATATCCACCGTTGTAGTACATGTGATTGCAAAAACCAGGTTTAAGCTGTTAAACTAGTTAACCCATTGCTATTCAAGGTTATAATAGTTTTGGATTTTTCATTATAGTTCAGTTTTATTTAGTTTTGACCTTTTTCCCTCTAATTTAGTTA